ACTCATCCCCTCCCACCCACCCCCTAGTTGGGGGTGGATCAGGCTTGCCTGAGCCCTGGAGATTCTGGTTCATGCCACTCAGACTCTGCCAGGACTGGCTTGTCCCAGCATCTGCCAGTTCATTTGTTCATTCCCCTTTTCACTCATGTATGACTTATTGAGCATGGCTGTGTGTGAGGCATCATAGAGAGAGGTGGGTGTGGCTGTGCCCTTGTCCTGTTGTGGAGGTGGGTGCATACATAGAAGGGTGGCAACACAGCAGTGTACGCACGGTGGTGGAGGAATGCTTGAGTCCAGGAGTGCGAGGGCGTAGCTGCTGTGGCAGTCAGGGAAGGCTTCCTGGACGGGATGATACCTGAGTTGGCATTTGAAGAATTCAGCAGGCTGAGAGCCAGGCAGCCTTCGGACTGCTGTGTTTATAGCAGAGCCTGCTCAGCTAGGCTGATAGTCTGGTGGTGCCTGTGGGATGTGACACTGCTGGAAAGAGGTCCCTTGCCGGCAGCAGAAGCAGGCCTAGGGATGGCTGATCCTGAAGGATGATTTTTATCACATCAGGAGAACCTGGCCAGGGACCTGCAGACTGACTAGATGCCCCAGCCCTGCAGGAGAAATACCTGACCCCTGGTTTTCAAAGCCCTTCCTGTCCTGTCTCCTCCCCAACCTAAGCTCTCCTTGCTCTCCTCTCTATTGCGGGGCTCACAGAGGACTCCTCAGTGATCTTTCTGGGCTTGGCCAGAACCTAGTGCACTCACTGCCTTCCTTCATGTGCACAAGTGTTTACAGCTCCCTCCAATTCCTGTGTCCATGCCCAAATCCATTCTGTGCTGTGATGACCTTGGTTCAGTGATGTAACCTCTCTGAGCTTCAGTTTCCTCATCTGTAAAAGGAAAGGACCTACTTCTAAGGGTGGTTGTGAGGCGTGACTAACGGGCGTGGCCTCAGGGCTGCTCTGCGTGGCTGTGTGAGTACTGCTTAGATAGGGTGCCTGGCCAGGAAAGCCAGCGGAGGCCAGATCCAGCCTTGAGCCCCTCACCTAACTGTGAGCCCCGAGCGAGGACTGCCCTGCCAGTGCAGAGCAGCTGCTCCAACGATGGTTCTCCTTCCTTTCTGTGGTGGGGTCTCCAGGTGGGCAGCCTTCCCCAGGCCGGGTCTCCGCAGAGGGGCTCTTGGGGCTGGCTGAGCTTCCAGGGGTGTCTGCACACTGACCCAGCCGGGGAGCAGTGGGCTCCAGGCTGTGGGAAGTGAGTTACAGTCACCCCCTCACCCCTCAGGCTTCCACTGGCTTTTCTGGGTCTTCAACTTCAAGGCCCTAGAGGCCAGGGTAGAGCCAGGTGCTATGGGCCTGAAGCTTCTACAATTCTGGGAACCCTCTTAAAGAAAAAGAATGTAAAATTAGGACAAAAATGAATATGAAATAGATATAAGAATGAGAAAATAGATCACAGCTACTTATACATTTAACATATCACCCATACCAGAAACCCTGGGAAAACTACATCATAATTTTAATTAACTGTTCAACATGTCCCTATAATATTTTTCAAAAAACAAAAAATGTAGAGACTTATGCAGCGAGCCATCTGGATGGTACAATGAACCTTTTGCTGTGTTTGCTTTAGCATATATCCGCGCTGCTATCCTTCTTGTCGTCTTATTTTAAAAAATATATCTTTATTGATTTCAGAGAGAGGAAGGGAGAGGGAGAGAAACATCAATGATGAGTCACTGATCAGCAGCCTCCTGCACGCCCCCTACTGGGGATCGAGCCCGCAACCCGGGCATGTGCCCTGACGGAATCGAAAGATGATCTCCTGGATCCTAGGTCGATGCTCAACAGCTGAGCCATGCCGGCCAGGCCTTGTCAATCTTTTTAAAAACACATTTCAAACTAAATTCCAGACATTAGTGAGTTTCACCCCTAACCACTTCAACATGTGCATCACTTACTCAAATGCACATGAAATTTATTTTTGATTATTGATAAATAATAATCAGGCCCTCCCCCAGTGCCACCTGAGAGGAGAAGAGTCTGGGCAGAGGGGGGAAGAAAATGATCTAGGAGCTTTGCCCTCGGTCCCAGCGCCTGGGGACTGCTGAATTCCTAGGGTCAGGTCTCTCAGCTGGGGACCCTGCCCTCTTCCTTCGCCCTTAGGCGGGCAATTCCTACTCATCTGCCAGAACTGTTTAAATGCCACCTCCTCCTCCAGGAAGCCTTTACTAACCTCTGCCCACCCCAAGCTGAGTTGGGAGGTGCTCCTGACATCCCCAGATACCCATGTGACAGCACAGGCTGCACCTCATCACCCCCCTCCA